TTGCATATAGTTTGATTTTTCTCCTCTGCCAAAGAGGAGTTGTCTCCAACAGCATGACAACTGCTAGTGCCAGAATACATGATAGATATCCTTAATGCACTCCAACCCTCCGGCTATTTTCAGCTTGGGAATCTTCTGTGCCTGATGAGGATTATGTATCCTCAATACATTTCTCTTCCATGAACTTCTCCAGACTCACCCTGAACTCATGTAGACTTTTAGCAGCTGTACCACAGCTTCTATAGTTTATTTTCAACGTGTAACCCTGCAGTCAATTACATCCTGACAGACATACAGCAAAGTAGCTGCTCAAAACAAAGCTAAGGTGAAGACAGTCTGAGAACATCTGCCTGGCCAAAGACCTCTAGGAACCTCACAGAAGTAAATACAAGGTCTCAAAAGAGAAAATAGTCATGGTATCTCTTCAACTTTGATCAAGCCAAAAGGTACATCCCATGATGAAAGTTGCTACAGACCAGCAGGATCTTTCACCATATCACAGTAATTGGTTTGACACCATGACATCCAAAAGGTTTTCCAGATCCACTATTCTGACAAAGAGCAACACTGATGCTCATGTATAATAGTATTTATCTGTGTGTAAATGTGACCTAGAAAGCAGAAGAGGTGATTAAAAAGGAGTGTGCCTGTGTGTGTGCAAGATGATTCCTCCTCCTTCTGAGCACTTCCAGTTAGATCCATAAAGAATAAAACTGAGTGTGGTGAAAACAAGTTTTGCCATGATGGAATGGCCTGCAGGACCTCGCTGCTGGTGCTTCCAAAGGCACAGAATTGTATTTCATCACTAACCACAATAGAAAAGGGAAGAAAAGAAGATATCTTCAACAGGCAGCAGGAAGAGCAGCAAAAACAGTTCGTAAGCAAAGTACTCATGCCCCCTACACATACACTCAACACGTTACTCTAGGAGGCAAACTGGGAAACAGAAGGGTCTTTCCAGAGAATTTGAGAAAGGACACGGTGGAGGGGAACAGTTCCACACGGCATGATGACCCACTACAACAGATCCCTCCTCTGCCTCTGCACAAGCTCTGACACACACCCAGTTACAGCAGCAAAAGGTTGCATTTTCTGCTATTTTATCCAGCAGAGGATGATGAGTAAAACCTACACCTCACAGCTCACTGTGCAAATGCAATCTAATCATCCATGCCGTCTTTGATAACAGGGCTACACCTGCCCTAAGAATGAATTTAAGAAAAAACACCATCAAGGACATGGTCAATGTACAGTTTGAAGTTCAAGAGCTTTAAAAGAAACATTGGGCTCCCCTAGACAAGGAACTGGAGGTTTGTTTTATCTAAATGACTGAAGCAGTGGAGAGTATTCATGTTTACTATTCACAGCACAGACTCATCCAAGCAGGATGGTTACTGCAGCTTTTTCTACAAGGTGATTTTCCATCTCCAAGTTCTTTACACATATTAGTACTGGATGTATCCCAAGACAGAAAGCAAAATATACTTGTTTGCTCTCCAGTTTTGGGAGTCACTGAACTGAGAGGGAAATCTAATTTTGTTACACTATATTTTCAATTATCTCCATCTCTGGTCACAATTTTCAGATAGTCCAATGTGAAGGGCCAAGGACTGAGATGTCCAAACAGATTGAAAAAAATTATTTTACCCCATACTGATTTTCAAAATGTAATCAATTTTTTTAATGTATACTACCCTCTACTACACAATGCTTTCCTTTTCCCCAAAGACCAGGAAGCATTTGAACAGCATGAAGTGAAGTACATCCTTAAAACAATTATAATACCCTTTACACTTCCATTATATTTTATTATCCATAGTCCCCAGGCATGCACACATGTAGATTATCTGTGCTTTATAGATGTGGAAGCGAACTGCACTGCAGGCAGTCCCTGAGCAAGTCAGCATCAGAAGCAGAACCCCTGTTCAGGGGTCATAATATTTTTCTAGGAAATTAAACAAGCCAGAATTTCAGCTGGTCAGCATTTACTTGATAACAGCTCACCTAAGTGAGCAGCACTCCTGATGAAACCAGCTGGACAAATAAGGCTCTCAGCTTGGTGTTTGAACAAGCAAAAAGGCACAAAGAAAAGTCACTGGAGAGGAAGAACAGGCTAAGTTTTTTTTCATAAGCAAACAAAACCCTCTGAAAATTAACTTTGGATTAACTTGAAATATTTTGTTGAGGTGGGGGGAAAAAAGGAATCTTTGTTTCATATGTTAGTGTTACTCCTTTCTCCAACCTTATTTTAAGACTTAAAAATTTAGGGTCGTGTTTAAAAGGGAAAGTATAAAAATGCTGTATTTTATTGTTCTAACATATCCCTTTTCTCTCCCAAATACTCTCATTTTCAGGGTTTAAGTTATTAATCAGATTAAATAGAGTACAGAAAAAGTGTCATGCCCCTAAAAATCCATTTCTGGGTGGAAAAGTCACATGCACAGAGCAGACAGGAATCAACACAGGGTACTACTAAGGAAAACAAACTCCTCCCTGGATGATCACACACTCCATGCACTTCAGGTGCCCAAAGGGAACAAGCGAATTAACAGCTCTGCTGGACTCTTTTTATGACCTGCTCCTTGGAACACCCCACTAGGCTCTTATCCTGCTAAGTAATTCCACCTGCAGGATAGTCCCTGCAAACCCAGAGATGGCAGAGCACAGCATTCCCACTCTCCACATGGGACCAAGACACTGCTGTAGCTATACAGCATCTCCACACAGCATCTCCCACTGATCCAAGGTCACAGAATCATAGAATGGATTGGGTTGGAAGGGACATTAAAGGCAATCTAGTTCTAACCCCCCTGCCATGGCCAGGGAGACCTTCTGCTAGACCAGGTTGCTCAAAGCCCTATCCAGCCTGCCCTTGAACATTTCCAGGGATGGGGCATCCACAGCTTTTCTGGAAAATCTGTTGTGGTATCTCACCACCCTCACAGTAAAGAATTTCTTCCTAGCAGAAGATCCGCTGGGTTGGCTCCAGCCTGCCTTACAGACTCACCATCCTCCCTCCAGTCTTCCTACCCAAACAGATGGTACAAGAAAAACTTTACAAGATGACCCACAGGGTACCAGGAGGTGAAGCCATAGGTGACACCACCACTAAATCTGTCACACTGTGTTTGCTGGTCCATAACACAGAACACCAGCAAAGGCAGGCAGAGTCTCGCTGGAACTCTGTGAAACAAGAGAGGACCAAGGGTTCACCAAGCACAAGTGAGGAGCTGTACGACCCAGGAGCTACCCAGGCTTCTCACCGGGATGTTAACTCACCCACAGCAAATATTTACAGAGTAACTGTTGTAGCACTCACTTGTCAAATGCTTTCAGTAGTGGTGAGGATTAACCACAAGAGTAAACCTGAGGCTGCTCTGCATGGTGTCTCCCTGAAGTGCCATGAATTTGTTTTGTTAAAACAGTGTTTCAGATCTGCCTGCGAACTGAAGCCGTCACCAGCAGCAGTTCTGCACTGCTTCTCTCTCCCTCGCTGCACACTTACTCCATGTCTTTGGTAGCATGCTTCTAATGAGGAACAAACCACACTCAATTCAGAAAAGGACTTTCTTCCTTGGAAGAAGGATATCTGTCGCAAATATCCTCCTAGGGCAAAGCAAGACTTAGCTGTTTAACTGAATCCCCTCAGCTCTATGTTCATATGGACAACTTGGATTGTAATAAAGTAGATTATTAATTCACCAGAACAATAAAAATCATTAGGCATCTCCATACAGGTTAGTCTTTATTTTGTGTGTTGAATGTACTGGAGGAAAAAAATTACTGTAAAACTGGAATCCTAACCCACATTACTTAAAAACAGCTATTCTACTGTGGATTTATATCCTACCTTAATCCTAATTATCTTTCTTGCCTATATATCCTCTTACAACAAAGCATTCACCCAGGAAGTTTGGTTTGAAATTCACACCCTAGTATATTTCACAACAACTTCCCCATGCAGAGAAATCATTTATTTACATGGGCAAAGTACTGCAAAGTTGATGAGGGTACAAACACGCACCATGCTGACTTCTCCCCAACTCTCGGCACAGGTGTTTATCAGCGCACTGAAACAAAACAGCAGCTCACCTGATTCCCAACACAGACAGACCCATGTGGATTAACCCACCACTTCGTTTCCACTGCTCAGGAGATGGGTTACAATCCCGTGTCGGCCTGCAAGTAAGGTCTGACCAGACTGACTGCCATTGATCTGATGGCACTGCCACCCCCGATATGACTCCAGTCACAACTGGGAGAGTTCAGAGCCACGGGCAGCTGCTTGCCACTGCAGTTCCCAGCCACGGCAATGTCACGCTGTACTTCACCAGAACACTGACAGCCCTGAGGGGACACACCCCCAGCCTTTTTAAAAATGGGTGAAATTGAGAGAAATTTGGATGGGGATTTCGGTCATGCCCGCCTGACCCCACGGCCTCACTGTCAGGAGACACGCGAGACTGAGGGCCAGGTGTGTGCATCCTAACTTCACTCCGTCCCAGCTCCACACGCTCCCGGGCACGCTGGAGTTCGCTGCTGGAGCACGCGTGTGCACCGCTGTCGGAGCGGAGAGCAGGCATCAGCCCGCACGAGGGGAAAAGGACAGAGGGGGAGAGCCACTCGAGGAGCCCGGAGATGGGACAGGGACGCTTTCTCACCCTGGTATCTCATGTTACACCAGAGCTGGTAGCGGCGGCCGGAGCCCGGGCCCCCCGCGGGCGCTGTGCCGGTGGGTGCCGAGGTGCCGCCCGGCTGCTGCCCGGCCATCCTCCCTTCCTCCCTCCCTCATTCCGCCCGTGCCCCCGCGAGGGCCCAGCGCCGAGAGCCCGCGGCCTCCCGCGCACCGCGGCCCGGCCGGGGGCGCTGCGGGCGCCGCCCCGCCTGCCCCGGGCACCGCAGCCCGGTGGGCAGGGCAGGGCAGGGCAGGGCAGGGCGGGGGCGCTGCCCCGGGCCGCCGGCGGCTCCCTCGCTCTCTCCTCACTCACTCACTCACTCACCCGGCCGGCGGCGGCCGCGCTTTTCCTCCGCAGCGTCAGCCCGCTCCGCAGCAGCGCCGGCAGCTCCCGCAGCTTCTGCCGCAGCTGCACCGGCGGCGGCGGCTCCTGGGCTCCGCCGCCGGGGCTCCAGCTTCGGGCCAGCTCCGCGCCCTCACACGGCGACGGCATCTTCACGGAGCCCACGGCCATGCCGCATCCCTGCCGGGCTGCGGCGCGCAGCCCCGCTCTGCCCTTCCCCCGGCCGCAGCCCCAGCCCCAGCCGCGCTCCCACCCACAGGCAGGCACACGGCGGGCAGGCACACGGCGGGCGGGCAGGCGCTCCCCCGCACGCAGCGCGCAGCACTCGCGCACCTTCCCCCGCACGGCGCGGCCCCAGCGCCGCGGGCAGCCCCGGGCGGCGCAGGAAGCCCCGCCGGCCCTGCACCGCTCCCGCCCCGCGGCTCCGGCGGTGATAAAGTGCAGGTAATGAGGAGGGTGGAGGAGGCGCGGGCGGGAAAGGCAGAAAGTCCTGTTAACTCCTTTGCGCTCAGGGATCCGCCGTCCCGGCTGTCCCCACCGGCCCTGGCGCTCCGCACCGACCCGCACCCACGGCGAGAACACGTGGGAGAGCGGCCAGCACGCTCAGAGACGGCGGCTGCGAGCAGAGGAGAGAGGGTTTCGGGCTCTTCCAGGGGCTGGGTGGCCTCGGCTTCTTCCTGGAGGATGTCAAGACGGGGCTGGAGGAAGTTCCAAGCAGCCTGGTGTGACCCCCAAGCACTGAACCTGCCTGAGCTGGAGGCCTCCACGCATTCCCACTTGCTCGAGTTACCCTCTGGTCCAGTGATTATTTATGGCTGCAAGGGGTGAAGACCTTCTCTGTTCCCTTCCCAGTGGTTTTTTGACTCAAAGAGGTATTTCATCCTCCAATGCCAGCCAGCATTGATACTGCAGAAACCAAGCAGTTCCTCCCAGGTGAATGACATGCTTCCAGTCATTCAGGTAATCCTTGCAAGAGAGCTCTCCATGACAGAAACAAATTCCCTTACTATTTGTAAAAGACTAGTCTAGAATTCAGTTCCATGAGTTATGGGGACTTTATTTAGTCTCTGGAGCCTGCCTTTTCTAACTCATGGTACAGAAATTGCTTCCTCTCTGCCAGGCTCTATTATCTCTTATTTACACCACAGAACTGATGGTTATGTGGGTCTCCCTTACATATATCTTCTGCCTCAAAGCTACAAGTAAGGCTGACCTGCTCATCCAGGAGGAGTTACCAGTGCTTAAATGTCTGAGTAAGTGACATTAATAGTCAAGCCAATTTCACAGCCGTGTTAGAGAGAGCTGTTTCCTTGTCCCAGCCAAGAGGTCCCACTGGTTTCAGGACTCACCCTGGTACTCCTCCAGCCCCACAGGGAACTGGCTTAACCTTGACACTAACCTTGGGGGAAAAAAGTAAAAAAGGAAGAGGTTGTTTCCATCGCTGATGTGCTCCCTAAACCAGCTCCACTGGGATCACAGGATCACCCACAGTAGAAAGAAGTCAGATGTCCCCAGCCTGTGTCAGGGTGCTGAGACAGAGAGCAGCCTCTCCCAGCATCAGTGTGACATTGAATTATCTGTCACCTGAGTGCAGCAGCAGCCTGGCTTTTCAGCAGCACTGGCCTGACCACAGCCTCCTGTGAGCCTGGACATGTTCCTCCTTTTGCCACCCTTCCATGGGATCTGGTAACCATCAGACTCTATTCAGCTGATTGATCTGGTGGAAAAACAACACCTCAGAAAATAATGGATTTTCCATTGGCCAGACAGCTGAATTGATCCACCTTGTGACCCCACGGCTGCAGGATCAAGGAAGGCAGAAACCTGGAAGTGAGGTAGAGCAGAACTGCTCCTTTCAGAAGCAGTTAAATCAACTTAACTGCATCCTTTATGCATGATTTGATGAGCAATGTGAATTGTGCCAGCCTGGGTACTCTTGAAAGGGCCAGGGTCTGCTCCAGCCACATTCTGGCATCACCTCCTTTCTGCTGCTATTGCCCTTTACATTAGCCAGATCTCAAAGGTTAAGTGTAAAAAAATAATCACCTATTTTAGCAGGGTGATGCAGCCCATTGCAATGATGCCTATTGCTGACACAAAAGACAGAAAAGAGACAGGATAGTGACAGCCTTTAGACAAAAAGTGTGCTGCAGTCCTCAAATAGCAGAGAGATCTGGGAGTCCCAACTGGCAACATCAGCACCAACACTTTTGCTAGGACAAGGGTGATTATGACAATCCCAAACATTGTCGTGTCCCAAATATTTCTATTATTATACTTGATTTGTGCTTTCCAACTGCCCTGCAATGTAGTTTTGACAGCTGTGTTGCCTGGCAGCCACTTTGTCACAGCTCAGGATGTAATTATGAAGAGAAGTGTATCTACACCCAAAAGAATAAAGGATCCTTAATCTGTGGGCTTCACACAAGGACCATGTTCTTTGTCTGAGTCTTTAGGCACTGCTACAATACAAGCCCCAAAAAGACAACTCAATAAAATGGGACTTAATGTGACAGACTGGAGTATAACCAGAAGTAATTTGATTATGTTAAGAAAGGGTAAAATGATGCCAGTGCTCAAAGTTTTTTTTTATTTTAACTAAGCAAGATAACATGTAAACAGCATCAAAAGAGAAATTAATATGCCCTGCGATGTGTTTAAAAATTATCAGCTGCCAGACAGCATAATATAGACTATCAGTTGTCAAAAAAAATTGAGTAGATAGACCTCTCTAGTTCTTGTTTGGATCATTCCAGGTTTTGGGAGGATTGTGGTAGGAATTGTATAAAATGAAAATTTGTGTTGCTTTTTTTGTTAAGCCACTGAAAGTTTAGCATGGTGAATGAGTCTGGGTGTTTTCTGCACAGGAAAGGGATGGGGATCAGAGAGCAAAATTAGATCTGGTGAGGAGGTATTTGGCAAAACAGCTTAATTTAGAAAACCCAGAACAGTGGGTTGCAGCCAAAATGTTGTGTTCAGAGCATCTTGCTTCCAGTGAACTGTTACTGAAGGCACAGCAGGGCTCTGAGGGACTGTGGTCCCTGTTCTCAGCAGGTCTGGCCTGCAGGTGGTCTGGATTTCCTGTCTCTCATGGACACCAGCAATATCACTAAAGGAATATCATATCCACTGACCATGTGCAGACATTGGAGATCTCCAATTGTCCAGATTCAAGACTTATAATTTGGTCCAATATAAAGCAGAACAAAGGACACACTCCATCTGGTGCTTTCTATCAAAAAATCTAAACTTGAATGTACCTTCCAGAGTGGAGTCTGGACTAGGCTTTGTTCCCTTACTTGCAAGAGTCTTCATATAAATATAGAAACATCTATGTTTAAATAGATACAGGATGGAGTCTGGAGACCTAAACAACTCTACTGCACTTTGCAGATGTGGAGCCTGGGAGTGTCTGCTTTTTGAATATGTTTGTTTTTCTTTCATGGTGTAGCACAATCAAAAGAAATGCAATAAAAACAATGCAAGCTGTTTCATGCCTGTATGTGTTTCACATCAGTTTTTAAGTAGATCATTGCAGAAAGAAATAATTACTTGGTATCAGACATTTCCTGACAAAGCATAGTAAACTCTTGTTTTGGACGTAAAGTATCAGGAGTTCTTGACTCTGTTGGAATAATTGATAGATGCCACTTCAGTTTTCCCTGCATGAGGTGGAGATAGTGCAGAAATAGAATTGCAGAGTACTGGTGTGCAGGAGCCACACGTCACTGACAGGCAGCAGTCTTTTTTGAATATTTTGTCTCCCTGACTTGGCAGGAGGCATTTAGAAGAAAGCAGGTTTTTTTGCAAAACAACACCACCCTCTACACAACCAGGAAAACACTACTTCCCCTTCCCCAGGCAGTCCTCCTGGAGTGGGGAGGGGGATGGATGCTTTCCTACTCTTTCAGAAACTGAGTTGATTTCCTTCTCCCCATGTTTTCAAAAAGCAGGCAAGCACGTTTTCCTTTGTGACACCTCTTTTCCCTTTCAGGAGGAGTGAGCTGTGTACTGCCCACCTCCTGTACAACATCCAGATGAATGTCAAAGGAGGTCCCTTTCTGTGGGATGCTCTCCTGACAATTGTATCCTACAAATTTTAGTTTGCCAAGTGTTACTCCAGGCCCAATGCACATGAATTGCAGACTGCCCTGTCATACTCTGAGATCTGGCAGCTCTCAGGCTCCTGACATGGAGAAGCCTGGCCTGGCAGATGTTTATTTCTAGCTCTAAACACAACATGTTCAATGGCCCTGTAAAAGAGAAGGGCTGGGGAAGACTTTGCTCCATTCTGCCACTTCAGTGCCTCACAGCAGTCTCAGGATACATTTCCCAGTCCCAAGAAGGGGTGTGTGCCCCTCATCACTTCACCCACAGCACAGGGGCAGCAGGTGACCATTCAGGCACTGTGCTGGGAGCTGGAGGGAACGCTGCAGAAGTCTGAGCATCTCTCACCTTTTTCTGCTTTAGCCACTCTTCATTGGTTCACTCAGCTTCAGAACAAAACCAACCTGTCCACACCTCAGAGCTCCTAAGGATCTGATTTCTGGCCAAATAACTTGCTTGAGTTTTTTATCTCAGTTCCACCTAATCAAAGAGTGGGACCTCAGTTGCATTCTAAATGTTGAATATCGTCAATTTACTCTGGATATAACTAGCACAAATTCATTATCAGATTGAGGCCATGTATGTGGGTAGTGTATACTTTTAAAAAATCATTTATTTAGTTTCTCAAGTAATTTTTTTGAAAAACACTTTAGTACTGTGTCATCATATAGACCAAATATTCAGTGACCAAAGTTCAGAAGTACTGCTTGTAGTTTTTCCAAAATGTGAAAGATCTGCAAAATGTAATGAATGCTCAGCAGCAGAAAGATACCAAAATGGGAACAGGGGACAAGGAAGCAGGAAAACAGTGCAGGATGTGACTTGAAAGAAAGCAGAACAGGAGAATAACTACAAAAGAGAGGGAAGAGGTTAAAGATAAAGGAGATGTATGAGTAGGTGAAATATTTCAAGTAGTTTCATGATTTGTGTGACTCATAGCTGGAAGATCTGAAGCTGCTTCTCTTAATTCAACCCCCAGTTTTCACTTGAGAGCCTGCGAACCTCTTCAAGTTCAGCATCTGACCCTTTCTCCCTGCACCTCACTAAGAGCTGCCTGCCCCTCTGCCCCCAGCACCTCTTCCAGCCTTCAAAACTCTCAGAGCATCTTCAAATGGCTGCTCAGCCTGTGTCCTGCCTGTGAATCATCCATGGAATTGGGACATGATCCCTGCTACTGACTCTTCAGCACTCAAAGGGAAGAGAGCTCAGGAGCACCCTGAGCCATGAGTTTGTTGCTGCTGTGCTTTGAACCCAAATTGTGAGAGGACAGGTGTGCAGGAGGGTGTTTGAAACCTTAAATGGATCTCTTTGCATTTCCTTTAGCCATTTGGCCTTTTTTAAGAATCACTGAGCCATGATGACAAGGGCAAAACTAATGTAAATACACCATTGTATTTACATTGTTTGGTGTGTAGCAAACTTTGGTGTGTAGCAAATTCATACAAACCCACGGAGGAATGCATTTGCTGTGGTAACTGTGATTTGCCAGAGCTAATGAACCTGACTCAGCTCTTCAGTTTGATTTGTCTTTTTAACATACTTGGTATCAGGGGACCTTATGACTCCTCAGGGAAATTAAAACTCTTAAAGCTCATCTATCTGGCCTTTTCTGTCAAAAGAGTGTTGTCATTGAGCTATTGCTCTTTCTCTTACAGGCCAAAATTCAGCTCCAAAGCCAATAAGATCCTCAATGGAGTTTGTTCAGTTTGGTTGGTTAGTTTGTTTTTAACTAAACATAGAAATTTCAAAATGGCAAATCAATGTCTTTTAATTAAAAATTTTAAAAGAAAACGCAGAAATGAACCCATGGAATCGGGGAGTTTTTCTGACAGTTACAACTGAAATTCAAGTTCATTTACCCCCCAGATACATAGGCATATACATAATTTTTGTTTTTTAATGTGCAATGTGAGAAGCTTTACATACATTTACAGAAAAGATTGTGTAGGAAATTTTAAAAGAGACAAATTGCAATTAGGTGCTAAATTCTCACAGGCAATGGAAGATTTCCCCTGTGTGATTAATGCTTAATCTGCAAATGTATCTGCTTCCTTAGCTGTTAAAATCTCTGTTTATGTTGAAATTCATATTTTCTGGTTTAATTCATATTTTATGCTTCTTTTCCATATGTGGGTGAGTACAATTTAGCTTCATTTTGCAAAAACTGTATTTAATATACTGTGCTGCCTCTTTGAGCATCTAGATCTCTCTGTGA